GGTTGGGCTCTGATCATTCTCTGATCAAGGCCCGAGGGTGAGGTGCGGCTCTCCCATTGCAGACAGTAGAATGAATCTCACAACTAAACCAATTATGAAGTAAGCGGCTGGGACTGTTGTCAGAATGGAATCCACAACTAAACCCAGTAAGAGGTATATTACTGGGACTACAACCCAAGGCTCGATATACCACAAACCCACAACCAAACCAAATACGAAGTAGGTGTTTGGGAAACTCACAACTAAACCAAATAAGAAGCGTCCCAATAGGACTGTTGTGTCTTATGGCAGTATTCTCTCTTTTACCTCAGCTACTAAACCCGAGATGATGGCATCTAAGACTGATTCCGCAAAGGGAAGTAGTAATCCCGTCACAAAAAAATAAATAATAATAATGAAACACGCAACTAAACCCAGTATGAAGTAGGCAGCTGGCCTTAGCACTCTTTGTGCTGACTAGGGGAGTGAGTTTATGACTATTTGTGCTAGTACCGCTACTGCGCCTACGACTACTAATGCTAGTGCTAGTCTAGCAAAGGGCTTTGCACTGAGCTCGTCAATAATTCCGTCGCGCCTATAAGGCTTGCTTGGGAGGTCGGGGACCTGCAATAAGAAGTTCAATTAGTTTATACAGGCCAATTTATAAAGCTTATTCCCTCCGGTTGGGGTTATAATTCTTGCACACATTTTAATGAAGACCATCAATTTGGTCAACAAATACCCAAGCCTCTATTCCAGGGAGCTTTTTCGCGACGAGGTTCGCCCACTTGGATGAAAATGACCCCTGGTAAGTTTGAACGTGACACGTGCTATTTCTTTGGGACATGGCTGTGTACAAAGGCCTTGTGTGTTTAGAAGTTTGATTCAAATTTTTTGAACTAGCATGCGATTTATCTTGGTAAGTCTAGCGTAAGCTTAGCGTTTTTTGCCTTGTTTGCGTTCTGTGGACAGCGGCACCGTGTCGATCACTTCTCCTAGTTGTTCTTGTCGCTGGCGTGGTCGCGTGCATGTCTGGCCTGGTTGTTTCTCAGGATTTGCATGCTGATTGCGTCGGCCTGGTTGTTTCTCAGGATTTGCGTGCTGATTGTGTCTACGTGTTGGCAGCAGGATGGGCTTCTCCTGTTGCACTGATTTTTTGGCATGGGCCTTCGTGCCCACTCGGCTGCATGCATGGCCCGACATGTGTTGGCTTTCTATTGTTGTAGTACGATCGGCCGCCTGCGTGTTCCTGTGCTCATGTGTCACGTCTGCGCGCTCGATTCTTCCGTCAGTGCCGCCTTGGTCGCCCCCTCCAGAAGCAACCTCGCTCGATGTTTCGCCTCTTTTGGATGCGGTCGCCGCCTTGCCACCCTGCCGCGCTTCTCATCGTGAAGGCTCCAGCGTAATCCAGTGCCACAACGTTTCACCATCTTGTCTGCCTATAAAATCCTCCCTGCTTCTCCTCTGGAGCTCACAACATCGCCTGCGTTTCGCAAATCCTCACGGCGCAACAAGCGTCACCTCCTTCCTTGCTGCCAGCCCGTTCTTCGCCGGAGCCTCAACCGCCAGGTTTCGTTTCTCCTCCCAGCGGCGCCGTCGTATGCCCTCAGCACCACCAGGTTGATGGCCTGCCGGGCTGCGCGAGGAGGCCACGCCGCGGAGGGGCTTGCTGCCGCGGCCAGGTCGTTACAGATCCCCGTGGCTACCACTGCAAACCCCTACGCCTATCGATATACGCCCATGGACCATGGGTCTTTAGGCGCTTTGGCCAGGAGCCTAGGACGGTGGAGGCTACCATGGAGGCATGGGCGATGGTGGGAGGAACATAGGCGGTAGTGACGGTGGACTTGCTGGCTTCCTGTTCGTCCAGTTTCTGCTCGGAGCGTATTTGCGACTTCGCATCGTCCTTCTGGGGTTCGAGCGGCCGTCATTAACCGGGTGCGCAATGGCGGAAGGCGTTTTGCAGCTCGAGGTTCTGCCGCGTTAATGACGGAGAGTGCGTCGATGATCAGCTGCCCGACGTTCACTCATTGTGCTGAGCTTGGCATGCCGGTCGTCGTTCTGCTCGCCATGTAGATCGTGGTTAGTTTGGTCTAGCCGTTTGCTTCTGAGATATTTCTTTTCTTTTCTCGCGTGATTATTGAGTGTTACGTGTTTGTTTTCTTGTTTTGTGCAGGAGTTGTGTTTTTGTAGCATGAAGATTTGCCTGTCGATACTTCATACCATCGGCGTCGTCGACAACAGCCAGGGCGCGGTGGCGGCGGCTACACATGAAGCCGAGCGGTGGGCTGAAGTGGAGGACACCTGCTGAAGCACAGACTCCGGCGGCGACTACCATGCTACAGAGGCGACGCGTGACGGCGTGAGGCGTCGGCTCTGGCTGCAGGACAGCCTCGTGGTGGTGAATTAGTCGGCGGACCCGGAGGATGACTTCCCAGCGAGCATCATGGCCACGATGATCACGGCGAACGACAACCTCTGGCCGTCGCTGCAGGTCTCGCGGAGCTGCTCCGGTGCTACCTCGCCCTCAATGACGGCAAGCACCACCGCGGCATCATCGCCGCATTCCTGCACACCTAGCTCAAGTACCCGCGTGAAAGGCCATTAGAGATGGAGCGGCGTGTCGCAGCACCAGTCCATGTCGTCAGGCGGTCAAGGAGTCTGGCAGGTTCAGATCGAAGGGCAGCTCCACTCGCCACACCTATCCCCAGGCAGGCTGCGGTTGCACCGCCGCAACATCAGCACGTCGAGTAAATCATTGGGTCGCCGACCTTGTCGTCACAGGCAGTGCGCACATCAACCGCCACTCGAATCCTAAATATTTGCAGGAGAGCCGTCTGTTCATGCCCGACGCGTGCGCTGGTGATCAACTTGGTGTTCCATCTGCGGTTACTTGACCGTGAGTTGTCTCTCTCCATACCATAGGGTCTCTTTATCGGTCAATTTCGTTAGGTCAGTTTGCCTTTCTTTCTTTGTAATCCGGTTCATTTTATGTAGTGCATGCAAGCAGGAAAAATGCCTAGACCAAACAACGAGAGAACAAAACGATCTCCAATTCATATGCATGTAGACACATCATCTCCTACTCCCATGCACGTGGTCACATCAACCCGATTCATGCCCAACCAGTGCATGCAGCAACTAATTAATCATGTATGGCGGACAAAAGTCATTTGACAAAAAAATAGAGACACGAATTGCTAGGTGCATGCAAAGATGCAACAACCGTGCCATCAAGCATCCCAAATTAGAATGGCGACTCCACAATCTTCATCGAGCATCTAAACTATAACTCAAAAAAAAATCCAATCACTTGAGGAAGAAAGAAACACACACTATATGAAAGGTAAATGTTTGGGAACGGTGCGCCGGCCGAGTGTTCGGCCGGTCGCCACGCTCGCGTAGCTACAGTCCTGGTCCACCACCCACAAAGCTACACTCGCGTCGCTACAGCCCTGGCCCACCACCCACAAAGCCAAGTTTATCTTCACAGCTTCCATCTTATCCCCTCGCATATTCTGGAGACCATATGAGGCGTCTCCTCCTTCAGTCCCCTTGCTCAATATCTCTCATCTCCCTTCTTGTGCTCTCTCTTCAGGAATCCACACCCAATCCTCATGAAATCGAGTTCGTTTTTGTTGCCTTATCTGTTCCCCGTGACATTTTCCACCATATATCCATGAAAGGGGGTGAGCTGTTTGCATTTTTTGCTTTTCTCTCTCATATCCTAGGCAGTACACCATGGATCGACGAGGTTGAGCACAAGCACATGCTGCATACACACGCTCCCCTCCTTGGAGCTGCGAGCAAAGGGCCCGACGACTGGGCTGCAAGTTCGCGCACCCGCTACGTCACCATGGTGCGCGACGACGGCGACTGGTTCCTGCTCACGCAGCGATGCTGAAACCGGCCTACAGGGAGCTGCAAGCGGCACATGTTGATGCTGGAACCAGTGTCCCTTGATGCTGGAACCGGACGCGCCCTGGGCAGGCAACACATTTTTTTGGTGGAACCAGCCTTTATTTTTGCTGGAACCGTCTTTTTTTTGCTACTATGGGCACTGGACTCTTTTTTCACTGAGATTGTTTTGCTGGAACTAGCATTTATTTTTTGCTGGAACCGGCTAATTCATTTGCTACAATTGGCTTATCGGTTTTTGTTGCTGAGATTTTTGCTGGAACCATCATTAAGTTTTGTTGAAACCGGCAAATCTATTTGCTTCAACCGAGTATCGGAGGTTTTTGTTGCTTTCGATATTTGCTGGAAATAGCATCAAGTTTTGCTGGAACCAGCTTATCTTTTTGCTTCAACTGTGTATTGGAGGTTTTTGTTGCTTTTTAGATTTGTTTTTGCTGGACATGGCAGTGGCGTTGCAAGTCAATGACGGCGGCCGGAGAAGGAGACGGCCGAGATGTTGCAACCATGGTGACCACATGCTTGAACCCGTCTGTGTTCAAGCTACAACCATGTCGAGCGGAGGCAGCTGAGACGAGCGCAATGGCACGAAGGCCAGCGAGCACGGGTGGGTGGACGCAGTGGCACGGGTGACCGGCAAGCACGAGATGCCGAGGACAAGTGCGGCGGCCGGCGAGCGCGCCTAAACTAGGTCGCTACCTTTTTTCCAGCGTGGTTGACTTTTTGGAGACAAGAAAAAGTTGTATCGTACGGTTAAAAAGTCTGTATCGTACGCTCGGCAGCCGACCGGGCGAAAATTGGGCCGGTGCGCCGGCGCCTATCACTGCCCTATATGAAATATCGGGATAAATACTAGGCCAACAAATCTAGCTAGCTCATGTTAGTGATATTATGCCATAGTTGCAAAATGCCTCTTTATTAGCATTAGGTTTTGAGAGCACCCGATACATTCATCTCTAGGCAAGAAGTTAATTTCTCTGAACTTAAGCTGTTTAAAAATTAAGTTTGGTTTCGAGTTTATATTCCTTTTCTGAGCAAAAATATTTTTCATAAATCATTGATAATATTTGAAAAAGGGAATAATAATCTCAGCCTTTCGTAGTAGGCACTTTTAATGGGTAGCATGAAAGATGGTGATAGCATTGACCATCTTTGGTTGGTATTCTGGAGTATTTTGGATGCAACTGAGAGTGTAACCTTTGGCAATATGAAATATAACATGCATTTGGTCGATTAACCATCACTCTTGCCACAAACAGAAATATAGCAACCTAGCATTACTATCACGCACCGCATTTCATACTAACGCATCAACGGGGCGCGGCGTGCCGCCGCGCGGGCATAGCTAGTATTAGTTATATGTCACACAAAAGATACCATTGGATTCAAAGTTCAAAATAAGTTTTGAATGGCACATAACTCATACTCCGCTGACCAAATTATCGGTGAAAGCTTTTATTGTAATACGTGTGAGACAACCATGTTTCTCTAATTAGCGGTTGGTCGGAAGATGCATGAAGCAACTAGTACCCTATTTTTAAAATTCTTAGATGTCGACAAGTTACTGCAATTATTTTGACATTTAAAGCAGGGCATTTCAAATACACACATTGACTAATCCATCGATAAAAATATGTTTTTTCATCTTAGAAAAATAATTTGTGATCTAACAAATGCAATGCACATTCACTATGTACTTCAAAATTAACACCTCCAAACCTATTCTTAATATCTAGTAACTATATATTGAATATTAGTCAAGTGAAGGCATGGATATAACATCACTAGATTTTTCGTAAAAATATATGCCAAATATATAAAAAAATACTAACTTATTCACATGAAAATTAGTACCACAGTTTCATTTGTATCCATGTTTAAGCCACCATCTATTTACAAGCAGATGGAGTAATTATCAAACTTTTAGCTATTTTATCTATGTATTAGGCCCTAAAAAGAAGGGGGGGGGGGGGACTATTTATAGTGGCTGAACTTTAAGGAGTATGTAAAGCATAACAAAATAATGAAATTAAAAGAGTTGGCATTAATGATAAGTAGGTAGTTAGTGGTTAATTAAAGCATGAATATGAATCAGATGACGTTTGGTTATGCCATGTAAATCCTGGCCTACAACTCATTAAACTAGTTAAAATTTGTATAGTACCAACCTTGTTTAGTTCATTAACAATCTCGTCAATGGCAGGCCTTTTCTTACGATCAACCTCCACACACCTTAATGCTATTTTGATGCATGTTCTAATTTGATCTGATATATGTGACAACATTGTTGCCTGAAGCTGCTTTCTCCAGTTTTCATGTACCTGCAACGTTGGAACACAATGGCAAAAGGTGGCATGTAAAGTAAGGCACAACATGATTATTATACTTTTGTGAAAAAGGATTTTTGTTCATGACACAAATATATCTTCCATACATGTTCAAGAAATTCTTCCGAAGACATGTCTGCACATTTGCGGTAGCCCTCAGCTCCTGTCATTATCCGTATGATTATGACACCCAGACTGAATACATCATACTTTGATGTGATTTCGTATCTGTCAATGTATTCGGGTGGCATGTATCCACTGCATCATATAAATGCAATACAATTATTTCTGTAATTAAAAACAAAAAAGTTGTTTATTTATCGTTAGGTATCCACTTACAGTGTTCCTATAACTTTGGATGTGATATGGGTTTGTGTTGAAGGAAAGAGTCTTGACAAACCAAAATCTCCAATTTTCGGGACCATGTTCTTGTCCAGCAATACATTGGCAGGTTTCAAGTCAAGATGGTAAATAGGATTTTTGGCCCCATTATGGAGGTAATTCAAACCCAGACAAACTCCCTTAATAATTTTGAAACGTGTGTCCCAATCAAGTCCGCAAGATTCATCTGTAGAAGTAAACATGCAGTGTATTACCAAGACGTAGATTAAGGGGTATCTAAGAGGTACATATTTCAATGATCATTTTTCTCTACATGCAAAATAAACTAGTCTAACTGGAGTAGCATCATACCAGAAATATGCTTGTCAACGCTTCCACCCTGCAAGTATTCGAAGCAGAGAACTCTTTCTTCAACATAGGCAGTAACATATTCGCCTTTGTGCATAACGCGCTGATGTCCTTCGTGGTAGCAGTAGCCAACTAATTGGTTAATATTTGGATGTTGAACCTTCGTAAGGTTATTAAGCTCATTCCTAAATTGCGTGTCATCAGTATCCGGCCTCCAATAGAGCTTTTTGAGAGCAATCTCCTCCCCCTTTTCCAGTACTCCCTGTTACAAAAATACATGAGTCCTTGCAGCTAGGTACTGTAGCATCATTTGTAATTACAAGATCTGAGTAATAAGCATATGAGTTTACCTTGTAAACTACTCCATAACCACCACTACCAATGACGTGCTCCTTGGAAAAATTATCTGTAATTTGTTCCAAGAACTCGAGTGTAAACTCCCTTGTGGCCGCACTCGTGTGTTTGGAATTGTTCACCAATGCCATGGTATTTTATATCTCCTGCTAGTGCAAGGATCGACTAGGTCAGCTTCTAATAACACCGAAAATATTTCACATGCTCAACGGAGAGCATAACTGTACTCGCCCCAGAAAAAATGAGAGCATAACTTACGAAACAAGAAAAGAAAATAATGCAGTGTAAATGCCGAAGAGATCGGGTGCGTGACCATGTTGGCTGGCATCTTCCTCTTCCCCTGCAGCCCGAACCATTCATCGCTGGCCAGCAGACAGTGACGCTTGGCGGAGCCGTGGCAGGCTACATCCTACAGGTAATGACTTGTGGAAGTGTTACTGTCTCCGCCAAGAGACGGGTCTGGGAAGCAGACTGCGGCGAGCTCGTTTGGAGTTTTTATTATTTTTTGATAAAAGAGAGCTTGTCTCTCCGATTTCCGTTAACAAAAGAGCTCGTTTGGAAGGTAACTTGTGTCATTTTGTCTCCATACAAACCATTACCATTGATTTTGTGGTAACTAGATAGTTTGGAGTGGCACGCACTCGCGCTAGTTCACAACAAAATGACAGATTAGAGATAGAGCACCTTTGGACTTTGATTTTATACAACTCACGGACTGTCGATACACGACAGTAAAAATTAGTGGTCAACTCCATACAAACCATTGCCAGCTTTCCCTAATCGCAAAAAATACAAATGAAAAATAAAACGAACAGTGACGCTAGAAAAGGAAATAGTACTCCTACTAGTGAAGCTCGTAGTTAAGGCAAAGGTGTTGGCACGATTTGTATGGGACGAACCTGTATGGCAGATGAGGAGCCAGAATGAAGGAAGGGTATGGAGCGGATCTGGCCGAGCAGGGTAGCGACCAGCCGGCGGCTTTGCTCGCGACCGGCAGCCGGCCCGGCCTATCTCTTTTCTCCCGTTGGTCGTCTACTGGAGCAGCTCCACCTCGCACGAACCTGCAGCTCCAGGAGGTGGATGACAAGTGGAAGAGGGGATGGAATGCAGCGGATCTGGACTGGAAAGCTTCACGGCCTGGAAGGATACAGTCTCATATGGAGGAATCCATCTACTAGTTGTTAGAACTTCAAGATGGTGATCGCCTGGGAGTATTATTCACTAGATCGGCAACGCGCCTTGGCGCGAGGGTGCCCGTCCGAACGTTTTGGTCAAGCGTGTAATGTTAAGTTATTAGTAACCCAAACTGCTATTCAGACGATAAAAAGGGCAATGAAAGCATGATATTACCATCATGTGTCTAAATGGGATAACTGAAGCTATAAATAGATGTCAGACAGAATGTAACTAAAAATACTTATTCGCTTAACGTCTTTCAACCTATTCATATTGCAACCTAAGAAATCTCGAAACACCCATCCATGAAACTGTTGCATTACAAAGTATAGATAAATGTTATACTTTGTGCACGTAAGGCAAAAGGGCGCGGTGCCAGGAGCTGATTGTAAAATCAATAACTGTAAGTAAGCTAAAACAGAATGAAATGAAGCCATATCAAAAAAATTAAGGGAGATGCATATATAACAGGAAGAATCACCGAAGAACCAGTTGGAAACAAAGATTGTTCACGTGCACAAAATGAGAAGCCACCAAACAGTATACAAACATAGAAAGCACACTTCACGATAGATTTAGCACCAAGAGTGCAGTTTTCTGTAGCTCAGGCTACATGGTACCCCTTATCTTTGCCATCCATTTTTGCATCACGATCCGTGCAGACACATTTGTCTTTTTTGTTTCTCTCAAACGACACAACATATAAACTTCAAATTTTGCAGAACGACAATACATTCTAACTACTATCTGGGAAAAAACTTTCAGATTTTTTCACGCATTTTAAATGTTTAAAATAATATTTTTAGTAAAAAAAATCATTTTCTATATTTATATCAGACCAAAAAATCTGAAAGTTTTTTCACACATTGATTTTCTAATGTTTGTTCGATCCGCAAAGTTTGAAGTTCATATGTTGTTTCATTTTAGAGAAACAAAAAGAAAAATCTGCTTGTTGTAAGTTAGTTGGAGAGTACGGATTTCAAAGCAAGGCTGGAGGGTTGAGGATAAGAGGTTCCATGTAGCCTGAGCTACAAAGAAACTTTGTGTTAGCACCAAATATCATAAGCATAGAGTGTGCGACAGCACAGGGTGGTTTAAAGACGATCCACAAATTTGCATAGGTACCTAAAGTACTAGCATAATAGGAATGACAACATGACACATCCAAAATAAAGTGCAGCATATGTACAATAAGTCAAGATCATTTCGATAGGCATAGCGGTAGTTACTCAGTAGGAGAACCGGCTTCTAATAGCGTGACCTTTTATCCAGATGCCCTTCCAAGCGGCCGCTCATGTCTTCCATTTGGTCTGGAAGATCTCCAATAGAACATCCCACAACAACTGCATTTCAAACGTGCACAGAGAAGTAGTGCATATATCTGACAGCAAGAAGCCAACCTCTAGCAAGCTCCTTATTGGTGCATGACTCCTTTAACTCCCGTCGCGGGCATTCGACATGACGCTGCTGTTGTTTGGACGAAGCAAGGTTTAAGTCTCTGACAACCGAGTTGGTCATCCTCTAGGTATCTAACAGCCTTTATGGCAGCAGTATCCTCAGCAGTCTCGTCGTCCGTGCAATAAAGCCCCGACACGG